TGATAGCACGCCAAAAATGCAAATATGAATTGGCGTGTCATACACACACTACTTCATGAGATCAGTCTGCTACAAGAGTTCAGCAACACAGGTCTGGCCTGTTCTGAGAACAGTGCAAAATATTAGAAAAGAGGAACCAGTGACAATAGGTTTGTTTTGTGGCACGTGTAAACCTACCTCACTAACTGAATATATTGAAGACTTCATCTCTTAAGTTAATCAATTGGCTTTGAATTTGAAGGAGTGAAGTTAACTTTACAATGGTTTTTGATAGTTTACCATGCACCACCACTTCTGAAAAATGTTAAAGCTCACACAGGCTATCATGGATGTATCTTTCTCAGTTTGTTTGCTTCTCCAAAGCGCATTTCGCCCAGAACGAACCAATCTACTCAGCTTATGCAAGTAATTCTCAAAAGAGAGAGCACTGCACTCATCCAGACTGCACTCATGGTGTTTTGGGACCTGTAAACAAGAAACTCGTCCCCATCAGCGTGGGAATTATACCGCGTCCACGCGGCCATGGCCGCCGTTGCCCTACACTTTGGCCTTCATGCCCCAGGAAAAAAAAAATCATCCTACAGCCACAGTGGCCTGTGTGCCCTGGCCCAGTTCCATGTATAAAGCAGCAGTGCGACATAGTAGGCTTCCTTTGAATTACAGCGAGCCACCCAAGTAGTCTCTGAACTTCAATTAGTTTGTGGATTCGCGCAGGTGCAGTGTCATAATCGATATCGATGAGAGAGATCGATATCATATCGATGATCTCACGCCTCAAAACAGCAGTGCAAGAAGCATGTAACGTCAGCACCAACAGAAGAACAACACTCAGGTAACGTTAAGCATTAGCATAGCGACTGCATCATTACAATTGAAAACTGACCTTTTTAATCACAGGTGGTGCATATTTAAAGAATATTTACATCTATAATCTTTTTTTTAACATTATATATTTTATATCATTATAAGGCTGTATATTATTGTATCATGTTTGTTGAGATGTGAACATTAATACTAGGTGCAGCTTTATATATACTAGGGCTGTTTTCGACTAAGGATTTTCATAGTCGAATCTGATTCGTTAGATTTTGCCGTAGTCGACTGATAGTCGAACCTTTTTGTTTTTTTTTGTTTTTTTTAGATAGGTCTAGCAGCTATATTTTTTTCCATTTCAAACAAAAGAGATGGATGTATGCGTATTAGGCTATTCGTTCTGTGTTTTTTTTCTAAACAGTTAGGCTATGTTTAGGTAGTATTTTTCATGTGTTTATCACGCAATCATGTTTTTGATGCGGTGGTGAGCTTGTAACTTGCAACTTAGCGCTTTAGCCTAAGCAGCGGCGCTGCCAAAAATAAAAAGCTGTCACAAAGAACAAATATAGCAAGGAAACATTTTAATTGTTTATTAAAGATGAAGTTGACGATGCTGCGCGATCTTCGCATAGTGCATGCACCAGAGAGAAATCCACAGTTCATTTCATAAGCAGAGAGCATTACGTTTTCTTTCGTTTTGAATCGTTCTATTTACAAGTAGCCATTTCAATATAGATATGTTTCAGGTCTGTGGAGTAGACTATACTTGTACGCTGAGTTGCGGTAGCTATATTTATGAGACGAGCTCCAGACGTTCACACATCGGTGCCTCTGTGCCTTGATTATGAGTAATTGTCTGCTTTTCCTTCTTATTTATTAAATCCAGACAATTGGTTGATGAAACATTAATTCAAATCAAGAAAAAAATTATAAAAAAAACGAAATTCACTTTAAAGAAAGGCTTTTTGCTTTTTTGAGGTCTGTGAAAGTTTTAAAGCAGTCTTTAAGTGCTGCTTCAGAGCGCTCGTGTCTGTCGGAGAACTGTCACGTCTGTAACATTGTTTTTTCCTCTGTGAACACGAAAAATAATATTTTATGTTTTTTGGAGAGCCAACCCTTCCTCATCTGATTTGAGCAGTGTAATTCACAGAATTACAAAAAATATATTTTGCCTCCTAAAACTTAAAGAATGCCTGAATGCCTGTCTATTTCAGGTTAAATATCAAACGCATGTATACCGTATTTTCCGCACTTTAAATAAGGCGCACCTTCAATGAATGACCTATTTTAGAACATTTTTCATAGGGCGCACCGGATTATGAGGCGCATAAGATACTGCAGTCAAACGTTTGACTGGGTTTGCGTTATGCATCCACTAGATGTGCTGGGAATATAGCGAGTGCGCGGCGCCGGAGGTGAGGCATTTATTGTGTGTGAGCGCGCTGGGGCGGGCACGTAATTTGCATTCGCAGCCTGAATATTCAATGTGCGGCGGGTCGCTGACCGCAACGGATGGCTGTTTTGAATGAGACCCGGTTACTGTGCACAGGGAATGCTTGATGAACATTCTGTGAATGCGAGCAGCGCCGGGGACAGTGTGTCTGTTCGTGTGTCTGTTAAGAGTGAGCGGTCGTGAGCGGGAGACACACATAACCTGATTTATACGAGGTTGAACTGGCCGTGTACTATTCGACTATAACGTTCATAGTCGAATCAGACCTCTCCGAATCGAATCGTCGAATCCTCGACTATTAAATATCAGCCCTAATATGTACCGATTATTTGTATTTATTTAGGCTATTTTTTTTCCTTTGTATTATTCTTATTTTAACACTTGAAATCTCTTATTGTCTCAGATAATGTTCCTTTTGTTATGTTCTGTGAAAAATATAAATAAAAAGTAAAAAAAAAAAAGCATTAGCATAGCAAGCTAAGCTGGTTTGATAGGTAACTGTTTAATGTGGTAGAATTTGACTGAACGTGACACTTAGTATTAGCGGTATCTTAAACCTGTTAACCATTGCCAGTGCGACAGCGCACTGAAGCGTTCTTTTTTTAATAGTTCAAAGTTACTATCAGATTTAATGTCATTACCTTGACAAACTATACATCAAAGATATAAGACTCACGTTTCAGTATTTGACCACTATTGTATACTGAGAAATTTATATTGACAGTCAGTTATGTCTTAATTTGCGTCAGACGTTCGCCCGTTCATAAAAAATTCCTGTGCTGTCGTCATGACAGCGATTCACAAAACAACGTCCCTCACGGCTTTTAGCTCAAAAGTGTGCAGATTTGGAGAAATATTGATATATTCTCAGTTTACATCAGATTTCTATTGACAGGAATAAAATTTTATTTAATTTGTAGCCAAATGCATCGATGTAATCATTATCAGCGCTGTATACGGATGTGCTGTGTTCAATTCATACCAGCAGCCTGAGGGCGGTCTACTGAACATTATAGTCCATATTTGAAACACATGAAGAAGAGCGTTCGACAATGCAGGAAATCCCAAATACCCAACCACAAACAGAGCTGAAAAATCGCTGTAACATGCAGATTATGTTGTTTTGAAGACAATAAACATTTTTGCAATGATATTTGACTTACCTGTGTTCATAATAGATTATATGTATAATTAATGTTATGCTAATCGATAGTCTTTATTAGGGTGACCATATTTTGATTACCAAAAACCAGGACACTCATCCCAGCAAGCAAATACACAAATGATACTCGAAGTTTACTCAAAGATGCCTTATTAATTTCAATACATTTAAAATAGGCTATGCTTTCTCTCTATGGATGGAAAATTGTTATATTACAAAGACACAAATTCAGGTAGGCTTCTCAGAGGTTACTCAACATGTTGTTTTATTATGACAAGTTTTAAAAAATGAATGAAATGTCTCTGCTGTATTAGAAAAATAAATATATAAATAATAAATAACTAAATACCTCCAAATTGAACAAAAATAGCTCTCACAAACTTACAAAAACAAACTAACAAAATATATTTATATCTTTAGTTTTCTTCCTCTTTATCCTGTTTTTCTTCCTCATCCACCTTGTTTGCACATCTATATTGTACTGTAGAGCTGATCTTTCCCAGCTGCTTTTTGAAAACCAGGACATTTTCTTCACTTTATAAAAAACAGCAAGGGTGGCCAGGACAGGACGTGAAAACAGGACTAGACTTTATCATCCTTGCATTATACATAAAATATTACATTTTCTGTCTGATGTTTTTATCTTCTGGATGTAATAGCGCTCTCTCTCTCTCTCTCTCTCTCTCTCTCTCTCTCTCTCTCTCTCTCTCTCTCTCTCTCTCTCTCTCTCTCTCCCATTATCTCTCTGAATGGGAAAACCATCGAATTGTACTGAATGGCCTTTGTGCCCTGTCATATGGCCTTGGTGCCTCTAATAAAAAGAAAAGGTGGAGGCCAAATGGCCTTGCTCCTAAAATTACATAATTCCCACCCTGGTCCCCATACAAATGTACATCAAAACCTTTTTGCAATTGTAGTATTTTTCCACTATTGGATAATTCCACACTAAAACCCAGTAAGTTCTCATAGAGCTGTTCTGAAATAATGCCTTTAAGCACAATTTTTCCTGAATAGAGTGAAAACTGTCTCAGTTCTGTGGTCTTCCATCTGTTATTGTCTTCCAAGCCTCTTGGTTTCCTTGCAAACACATTTGAAATGCATGTTTTTAAGCTCCAGAAGCAGTAAACTGACCTACTTAACATGGCCAGATGACAATCTGATTCCTGGTGGTCTCCTCGACCACATGAGGATCAGTTTGTGCATAACCCCAAGACAACACTGGTGCATATAATCCACAGGGAAATGTTCAATCACGTTTATCAGGAGCTGGCAACATGGCGACACAACTGAAGGCAGGTGGTGCTCCTCCAGAGGCTGATCTGGAAATTTGTTATCAGTTCTCAATGTTAGATTGGTTGTTTCAGGGTAGATCACCTGATGGCCGTCCCACACTCCTTTCTGTGTACATTTGTCACACCCATAATAACCTGAGCACAGCTTTATGGACTTTACATAATGATAATAATAATAAACTTTATTTTATATGACAACATTTATCAAGGCTCTTTACACAATGAGACAGACAAATATTAAAAATGTACAAAATTAAATTATATTATAAGTGTACAAAAAATAGCCTGAAATACAAAATAGTTAAAAGCATAAAAAAGCTTCTAGGTTTTCTAAAATGTTTCTAGGTTATATTTAAAAATGCTGTTGATTCTGTGCACCTCTAATATGAAGTGAGTCCCGAGTTTAGGAGCATAGGATGATAAAGCCCTGTCCTCTACAGATCTCAAACGTGTCTTTGGGACAGCCAGCAAACCAGCTTGAGAGGAGTGCAAATGATGCTTGGGAAAAGTTAAAAGCACAGACAGATACTGAAGGGCCAGACCATGCAGTGCCATAGGGTGGCATACACTGGGCTATTTTTAGCCGAATTTTGACTCATGGAACTTAAAAAAAATTCAGCTTTGTCGTGCATCATTTGTCTTGCAGTGTTCGTGCAGTACAGAGGGCAACGAGAGGTGATTAACCTCTCTCTCATTTAATAAATATGTTAATAAATAATGCTAAATAATTTTGCATTTATTGTGATAAGACGCCATGTTTTATACATACTTTCTTCACTGTCAGTATACAGAAGTGAGTCATATAACAACTAAAGGAGAATATTAATAAACTTGACTTAGTTACAACACAGTTCACAATCACATATTGTTGTTACAGGTTTTATTAATATTTTATTTAATTACTAATTTTTTCAATATTTCTCACACAGATACATTTAAAAGCACGATTACATGGATAATCACACCACCCTGATGAAAATAACACAGCACAGTTCTCCTTTACTTTTCCATTTGGTTCACTCCTCATCCAGGACCTGCATCAACAGATCAGCATTAGATGTTCAGACTGTGAGATATGATCATTTATTAGACAATAATCGGTTCAGTGATTCCTCACGTATAGGTCAGTGTGCTGTCATCAACCCATGTCCATCTGTCCTCCACATCACTGTCAGTCAGACCCAACCAGACTCCAGTCTTTCCAGACATCTTCATTACAAAATCCTAGAAGAACCAACAAGGAAGACACATTTAAAGGGTTAGTTCACCTAAATATGAAAATGCTATCATCTGTTCCTCACACTCATGTTGTTCCAGCTCCATAAAACTTTAATTTATCTTCATCTACTCACATAAAGATATTTTTAATATTTAAATCTGAGAGATTTCTGTTCCTCCATTTCAAGTCTAAGCACCGCAAACTCTAATGCTGTGTTCGATGAGCATTTCTGAACCGTCAGCTTTGGGTGAATGCACTTTAAATTGATTTCATTAAAAATGTCTTTCATTTGTTTTCTGAAGAAGAACAACGTCTTATGGGTTGGAAAAGAGAGGAGGTTGAGGAATTGATGACAGAGTTATCATTTTTGGGTGAAATCTGTGTTTCTGAGTGGTCAATCTATTTTTCACTCACTTGTTTCTCTTTGTTGTTTATGATGATCAGATCTGCTCCTCTCTCTCTACAGTATCTTCTGCACTCAGTCCAGCTCTTCTCCTCAGATGACATATAGTAAAAACCAGATTGATAAATACATCCATCTGTAAACAGAACCAGATCATCTACTAGCACTTTTTACCACTGGTACTTAATTATGTAATTTGTTTATGATAGTGTGCACTCAAAAACTCCAGTGTTTCCCCTTAACATTTTTCCAGCAGTGGTGCTGTTATGTGCCGGAGGCTGTTACCAAACCACGCACAAAGAATTTTAAAATAACCCCTTGGACTCAAGTCCCGTACCTTGTAAAACTACCCCGATGCAACCGCACCCGAGTGCAATTTAGGGGCTCACGTATCACGTTTTTAGCACGCAAACTCGTTATTTCAATTGGCTTTATGCATAGCTGCACTTTTTCCTGAACTTCAGCCAGCTCCTTGTTTCCTGTCTGCCATTATTGGACAAACTTGATTAATTCAGGTGTGTCTGATTATTGTTGCCATGACTACTGAGTTCAGGAACACCTGAATTAATCAATTTGTCCAATAATGACAGACAGGAAACAAGGAGCTGGCTGAAGTTCAGGAAGTAGTGCAGCTGTGCATAAAGCCAATTGCTATGCCGTGGCGAGATGAACACATCTCATCTCAACAGGTCATGTGACAAAAACAAACCGACCAGCTTTGGCCTTTACATAACAACATTGATAGCTCGGCCGAACAGCTAATCATATCTGTACAGGGAAGCTTTTAAATTTCTCATCTCAATAAATATATCTATTAGTAAAGCTAATGCAAGCGCTAGAAGTCAATTCAATTCTTTGCTGATATGAGCGCAGTTCGCACCACTTTCTCCATTCCACCAGCGTTTGCTCTCCCGTGGTGTCTGTCTTTGCTATGCAACCATGAACAGAGGCATATCTGGAAAAACGAGTGCGCCGCATCGCTTCTATTATGAGCGTTTGCCACGCGCCTACATTTGAAATAACAAAGAGACTGTAAAAAATATGGACAAAGCATCTGTGACGTCACCCATAGACTTTCTGAATAACAGTTTTGAGGCCGTTTATGGGGGTATGGGCGGCACCCTTTTTTTAATATCTTGGGAAATCCTAACCCCGCCCACCTTCTGGCCAATCCATATATGGGTAAAAGGGCGGGATTTTTATTTTCTTTTAAAAGAGACTTTTATTTTCCCAAATCGTTGAACTGCACCGGCTTGTATTTGAGACAGGCGTCTATTTGAGACTGGCCTTTATAAGTTAGTGTTGAGATGTTGTTCATTGAGTGTAGGTGTAGTCTCTAATCTCAAAAAATCTCCAAATGCTCCACGTAAAACTGCGGTCTTCCGGCCTTTTACTATCGTGTCAATTGATTTTGATTAATATGCGCGAGAGAGAGAGAGAGAGAGAGAGAGAGAGAGAGCAAGACAGCACACGTGTTGTTTGAAGATGTGAGAGTGCACGTGCTCTCTCTCTCTCTCTCTGCTCGTAACCCGCCCTGTCAAGCGCAGCAGTCTCTATTCTACATCACTCACCGATCAAAAGAGGCTTTGGCGGGACAAAAATTTGCTTTGGCAGCCGCCAAAAAGCGGACGATCTGACGTGTTTTTGAATATTAAATAAAACCCAAAACTAAAAAACAGACCCGGCGTCTATTTGAGACCGGCCTTTATTTACCCAAACCTGCAGCCACACCAGGCGTCTAAAAGAGACAGGCGTCTATTTGGGACTCGGCTATTATTTGACGTTTTACAGTACATTAATTTCATTGACAAAAAAATAAATACAATTTTTTGACCGACACGCGGAGAGCACCAGAGGATTATGTAAACGCTGATTTAACATTACCCATTTCATTAAGCATTTTCCACAGTTCATTTCTCTCCTGATTGAACTGGTCTCTTTCATTTGTCAAGGTTATGTTCTTGTTTAGTAGCTGGTCTCTCTCTTCTGTTTGGATGGTCATCTTGGATAGTTGCTGGTCTTTTTCTTCTGTGAAGTTGGTTATCTTGGATAGTTGCTGGTCTCTCTCTTCTGTTTGGTTGGTTATCTTGGATAGTTGCTGGTCTTTTTCTTCTGTGAGGTTGGTAATCATGTTTAGTAGCTGGTCTCTCTCTTCTTCAGTGTAGTCTGTGCTCTTGGTCTGCAGGTGGACACACAGCACTATGACTGCAGTCAGCAGAAGAACACACAGAAGCAACAAACACACTGGAGCTGCTCTGGAGCTTCTGATCCTCACACAATCACTTCCTGAAAATAAAGTAAAGAAAATAATGATTAAGGTTTAATTAATGTCCTAATGTGTGTTATATTTGTACCTGTATGGTTTTGTCACAGGTGGGGGTGGTCAACTGGGACCGCGCCGACCCCTAGGACCCAGTACCACTTCAAGGAGCTAACAGAAACCAGACAGACGAGGCAACAGACCGTGTAAAGTGTAAAATAATATTTTATTATGGTTCCTCTTCAGATGAACTTCAAGTGGCAGGACAAGGGCAGATAGCTGGATGGACACACTCAAGCCAGACGAGGTGAGTAGGTCGGTATGGTTCCTCTTTAGGCGAACTGCAAGATAACACGGGACTAAAGCTTACAATTGGATGGACCAATTCCGGTCAGTGAAGGGTAGGCTTTACGTTACCCTTGGTGGACACAACCCTCGAGCTGGGCTGGTCTTCTCCCTTCCCCTGTGACTGGACAGCACCGTGAGAGTCAAGAGTTGTGAGCAACAGCAAGGTCATGTTCCACACTCAATAGTTCTCCACTTACACATAAACTTCAACACTGCACTCCACACACTGGGTGAAATAAGGCCACTGCTCACACTCTAACCTGACTCCTCTGCCACAATCCTGAAGGGGGTCGGGTGTCAGAGGGGTGAACTTGAGACCCGGGAGGCACACAATTACGATAAATTTTCAGAACTTTGTCCAAGCACACTGGGACAGCGATCTGGGATAGAGGTGATGCACACACACAAATACTGAGAGAAGAGAGCAAAAGATCATGACCCAGTTATCCTCAAGTTTGGATTTTACACAGTATTTCTTTCTCCATTAAAGGGGTGATGAACTGAGAAATCTATATTTCCTTGAGCTTTTGACATCTAAGAGGTCATCATATTATAAGAATATCCTGTAAGTTTCAGAACTGAAAACGTCCTTGTTAGTCCAATAAAAGCTTTTATTGAGCAAATGACTCGTTTTTAAAAGTGGGAAAATATGACGTCAAAGAGGATAAAACACCACCCCCGCAGAAGAAGATCAACGTCTACTTCAACACGGCCGGTTTAGCCCCGCCCACCGATTCTCATAGACTCATAGCTAAATAACATAGATGCCTACCTCGTGATGACAATTCGGATCGACATACCGAGCAATACAGAATATTGTGCAGTGTCTGGTTGCAGTGTCTTTATGGAAGAAGACAGTCGCTGCATCAGCTTCCTCTGGACTCCAATAGGACTGCATGGATAAACTTTATTTTTAATGACGTTCCAGCAGATGAGGGTAAAATATTGTCCGTCTGTTCGCTTCATTTCACTGAGGATTGTTTTGTAAACAAGACTGGATTTGCAGACCGATTAAGAGTAAAGAACGGTGCTGTGCCGTCTATATTGGATCTGACAGGAATTGTGCAACACACGGACTCTGGGTCAAACATGTATGGGAGAATCATTCCGGTTGCCATTTTAAAACATTGGACGTTTTCAACAATTTCCCCCCAAGTGCATCGACAGGTGAGTTGAAACTATGAACTATGAAACTGTTATAATATGCAACTGTCATTATAATATGCATCCACGCACAGCAGTGGGCATTTACTAGGGTGAGCAACTGTCCTGTTTTCCCAGGACATGTCCTATTTTCATATAACAATTTTCTATCCATACAGAGGAGGCATAACCTACTTTAAATGTATTGAAATTAATAAGGTATCTTTGAGTAAACTTCGAGTATCATTTGAGTAGGCCCATCTGTTTGCCGGGCCGAGTGTCCTGGTTTTTGGTAATCAAAATATGGTAGCCCTAGCATTTACTTCCAAGTCTTCAGTGAGAGACGCCCATAAAAAAGAGCGTTTTTCAGCTAGGCTCAAAACTAGTGCCTATTACTTTTTTCATTTTAATGTTTTTGAATGCAAAACCAAGAGAACATCATAAGTTGACCTCAGACAACAATATAATAAAATTTAAAAAGCCAATTCATGACCCCTTTAACACTTCTCCCATACCTCATATCCATATAACAGCAGTACTGAAGGCTTTGAATAAAGTCAATGAGTACTTATCTTTCTCAAGTACATCAATGTTTTTCATTTCACCCAAATCCTCTCCTTCCAGTTAGAACAACTCTCCTCAATGATCCTCCTTGGATGCGATGAATCAAAGTTCAATAGCCAGCCCATGAACAGCAACCCCAAACGTATTGTCCTGTCTCTCCAGCTAAATTGAGCACCCACTTCATTCTCAGCGATCCCTTTTTATCAGCCAGATTCCTTTTACATGTCCCAATCATTGATCTCGGGGCTCTCGTGCACACCTGTTGTGTTTCCTCATGAATGGCTGCTCTTCCGACGACTCGCGAGCGGTCGGAACTGGCCTGGCGTTACACCGGGGCCGTTTCGATGGGGAAACATTTGCCGCAAAATTTTAGTTCTGCTTGTTTTGGGTCACCCCATGACAGTTTCTCGGAGTGCCTCTGTCCAGATCTTCTGTTCCATCAGTGTTAATATTGCCATATACAGGCTGAGACATTTTTGTTTGCTTGGTAATGGAAATTATGGGAGCTATGTGTGTTTCTACTCTGCAGTCCTCTGACTCTAAATTTAGTAAATGAGGCCAATAATGGGCAAAAGTACGTAACATTACAAGAGCATGTGACATCCTGTCAGTTTCTCCAGGTTATTTTCCTGGCAAATAGAGCAGGCGGCTACGTGTGCGGTCCGACATGCATGACGTATTTGATGCCATCGTTTTGGTGACGCGTTAGCAAAACAGTCTGAGGTAACTCTCCGCAGACATTCAGTGGAGCTGTAGCCTATGCAAGTTGGACGAAGTGTTACCGTTAGAGAATTAAGTACTTAAACTTTACACCAAATCAAATATGTAATCGCATGATGCTAGCTACTGCTAGTTAGCTAGCTGAAACTACCCTACTTAAAACGACACTAACAAAACACTTACATTCATTAATTCCAAAAGTTTAAAACAATCTTAAATATATCTCTTACGATCGAATGCAGGAGATTAGCTTGGTTTAGATTTTGGAATTAAAATTAAGGATGTATTTATCTACTGGTAATGTCGTAGTTTTGGTTCAGAGCTGTGACCTAACGTTAGACATGCTACCTACTGTTAGTTAGCCAGCTGAAACTACCCTACTTAAAACGATACTAACAAGACACTTACATTCGATTGAACAACACAGTGTACAAAACAAATGTTTTTCATAGATATCATATTCTAATTAAATGAATACTTACAATCACAAAACCAATGTTCTTGGCGATAGTCACTGTGCTGCTGCCGCAGATGCTGCTCGTGTCTGACAGCTGAATCCTCTGTGTAACAGCTGTTCTAAATAAGCTACATCTGACGGGTTAATAATAATCATATATCAGATCTTGCCACGCTATTGGCTCGACTGATTTAGTAGGCAACCGCGTTTGCCTGCATATTTACGCTTGTGCATTAGGATTTCGGGGGGAAATGTGCAATAAATGGCAGTGGCAACACTTTTCATATCGTTGAGAATAAAACAACCATCTCAACTTTACAATTTCAGGTTCTCCCTCCATGGGGATCATCCATTTCGAAAAGTAAAGCAGATACGGGCCCTCGGCCCACCGTCTATTAGGGGTTGGTTATTTTTGCTGCCTTGTGCCATTGAAGAGACTGTGACAACCCGTGCTTGATCGTCCAAGGTAATGTTGTGGTGGAAATTTTAAACTATAATTATTAAACTAACCATGTTAGACTAACATCCAACCTAATTTGGCATCTAACGTTTGAACAGAATGTACTGTACGAAACCAAGGGAAAACTTTTGACTTTTAGTGAGCGTGTGTGTGTGTAAATAACAAATATGGGAAATTAAACTAGACTGGTGTCTAAACTAGAAACTAAAACCAGAGTTTGGTTACCTAGTAACAAAAGGGCTTGTCTATGAAGAACCAATCAAATTAAGTAATGTTTCATATCATTTTTTCCATACCTCCTTATTCTATAAAACTATTGTATTTGTGTTTTACTGGTGTTTACTGGATTCTCAATGGAATGTGTCTGAGATCCACCAACCATGCTTATTGCTTCTTTTGGGAGATTTCCTGATAACTGCTCTGAAAAATCTCCCGGCCGTAATGAAAGTAATTTAGAGGACATTTGCTGAGGTCTATCTGTTATTACTTCTGTGCACCAGGTCAGTTTAGGGAAGCAAGTAAGTTAGTTAGCACACCAAAAGATAATCGGGCAGATTTTGGGCTGATTTCCCCCCTTCTGACAATCCTAGCTATGTCCGGATTATCTTGATGATTCTACAGATTATCTTATCAGATTCTCCCTTGGTGTGAGGTGTGTTAAGAGTCTCATGCTCGGAAGAACGTCGGAGCCTCCCCGATCGCGATCACATGTTGAATATTTACGATACGAAATCCTGATGTGTGGGGGGAACCCCAAGGACAAATGCACGTGTGCTCTGAAGATTATCACGTGAAACTAAACAATATCCAACCAGAAAGCGAGATGATGGAAGACGGAAGCATAACTAATACAGTCATGGTGCAGCACAACATGAAATTGATGTGGTCAGCAGAGATGGAGGATCAGCTTGTGGCTCAGAAAATGTAATTAGCTCAGTATAAAAAACATTCCATTTAAGGATAGGTGTGTGTGTGTGTGCGCGTGTGTGAGAGAGAGACGGAAAATTAACCATGGTTTTATTATAGGCGTATTGAACATTTGTATAACCCAGTGGTTCCCAAAGTGGGTGCTGTGACAACTGGCTAGGGGTGCCTGCAGAATCTCAGCATTGTTTTCCATTATAAACAGCCTAAAATAAATATCGTACCATAGGCTATATAATAACCTTTTCCAGCATATTTAAAAATAATATCCAAACACCAACATATGCATGTCAAAACGAAAATGAATAAGCGAAAAAAATACTATTGTTTCATACATTTAAAGTTGAAATGTTTATTTACCGCTAATTTGGACTGTTGTCGGGAGGGAATCGTCCCGCTCGCTCCGCCCTTTGCAATGGGCTCAATTTTATATTTCACGCAGATTGACAGAACAGGACAAATGGATAAATTTATAGGTTTAAACAAAAG